GTTGTGGTTTGGGTAAATAAAATATAGCACAACATAAAAAGGTATACTTTAAGGCAGTAAGCAGAAAGCCCTAATCTTACTTTAAATATTACACTGATTCCAGCTATAAATTATCCTATTATTTGCACAAAATTGTATTTAAATGAAAAGTTTCCCTTTCTCCTTTTTAATTAAAGGGAGCGTTGAAAAATTTGTATTAGGCCATTAACTGCTACAAGAAGATCATTTTGCCCTCAGCTGCAAAGAAACAACCAAGTCAATATCATGAGCCTACATCTTACATAAAGGCTTTGAGGAAAGTCCTAATAATTTTCATGAAATATATCAGCAACACTAAGACAAGAATTTGGACCACACTGTACATTCCTCTGGGCCTGGGTTTTGTTATTTGCTGTAACAGTAAATTTGTTTCACATAACCAATTGGAGGCCTTCTAAAACACGGGCTAAATTCTAATGCATGGTGTTGGTTTAGCAAGATCTCCAGTTTTCTTCTGATTTTAAGAGTCTGTAATTTCTATATAACCCTTCTGTTTTCCAATATATCTTTCCTTTTGTAATGTGATCTGAGTTTTAAATAAGAAGAATTTTATTTAGAAGCTTTGTATCCCATGACATTCTTGATAACTTTCATGATTTTTTGACTGCCAACAATGAATGCCCCCATTCTGAAAAATAAAACATAAATGAGAAGAGAAGAGACTGAGTGGCTAAAGGGTGGAGATTTTCCACTTGAATGGTAGATCTGTATAAGTTTTCACACACACACACTTCACACCTCCCCTTTTGCAGTTATTTTCTGTACACAGTATGAAAATCTCCAGACCCATGTGTGTATCTGCTCAGTACACAGTGCCTCTTATAATAGTGGATGCACAAAGTGCTTAAAGATTCCTGCCCAACAAATGCAGTCTTCAGTATCATTACTCACTAATTGTAATTACTTTCATCTACAGAGTTTTTATCATTTGAAAAAGAACGCCCACACAATTTGAATTTATCTATTTACACTGTTAAAAAGCCAAAGGCCTCAAGAAGTTATTAGTGGGGCAATGTCAGCTGGAAAAACTGTGATTCAAGTTTCCATCTAGCTTTCAACCAGCGGGAGCTAACAGTACTAAGTTTAATTATAAGACCTCTGACTCCCTTAAAGCCAGCGGTACTTGGACAGCATTTGGAATTCACAATTACATGTGCTCTGGAAGGAAATTCAGCTAAGCAAATGTGATGTCTTTCTTCCGGCAGGTTTAATTCGTACAGCAGCCTTTACTTAAACAATTAACAGTAGAAAAGCAATAAATATAATGCCTTAATTGTTTCTCCTTCAGGGGGTCTCTAACTGAGACAAATGTATGAGTTTAGAGTATATAGGATATGGCTTTTCCTGATGGTTTCTCTTTCTTGGATTCTAAACTCTGTCAGAGTAGAGACCATTTCTTCTTTGCATTTGTATTCTTTCTTCTTTGCATTCTTTGCATTTGCGTGAATGTGTGTATCTATTTTAGGCATACCAGAAAGTTCAAACTAAAAGTTCTGATATAACAACCCTCATGGCTTCCACTCATAAAACGAGTTTTTCTTACTGTAGTGATGGTTTGGTGCCAAACTAGGCACTTTCTTGGTGACTCTCTGAATGTAGCACGTTGTCACTATCCACACAGGCCCCGCCACCACTCCACCTCCATCACCCCATCAATGAAGGCATTACAGTCATACACAGGAGCACTGGATGGGATTCTCAAATCCAGTCCCAGGCTTTCAAGTAAACAAGACATTGGTTCTAAGGCAGAATTTGAAAATGTCAACCTTAAATGAGTGTCTATTATGAACAGCGGTCATTTGAGAGCTGAATAGTTTATATTGTGGAGGGGCCGTGAGGGGAGTGGGACAATAGCAGTACGGGACATTGGAATGTCTGTTTCAAAGAGTGCGGAGAAAGAGAGTGAGTGAAGTCACTTAGTCACTGTGTGACTTTCTGCAAATCACTGAACCTCACTAATCCAACCGTAAAACTGGAGTTTAGATCCCATCTGTGAGACATCAAGGTCCCCTCGTTCTGATTACATCAGGCTTACTCGTAACCAATACTTGCTGAGTTTAACCGAGGAAACCATCCATATGGGAGTGAGGTGGAGGGTAAATTTAAGACAGGATGCTATGGTTCCTCAAGTACTAGACTCCTTGTCACTTTTGTAATTAAACTTCAACTGGGATTGGTAAACTTCAGAAATCCTACAGGGACTGAAGTGCTACCAGAAGCCTTGCTGTAGGTGAACCTCCCTATATCTGTATTTGGCTGCTCCATTTTAAATATAGACTTACTGTTCCTATTGGAGAAGCATCTTGGTAAGACCCTCTGAAGATGGCATGGATGTGGGGAAACTCATCCAACAAAATACGTTAACTATGATGTTTCTTTAATGTTTTTAAAAGACCCGTTCATTTGCTTTCTCTTCTTTTTAATTCAGGAATGCTGAGAAAATTAAATGAAAAGTACCTGGAAAAGTGTCCAATAATGATATTTACTATTAACTAGCAATTTGTGGACATAATTTTCACAGCTGTGACCTAAAAGTGACCATCTTTCTTAGAATGACTTTCCTTAAAATTGTTGCCAAACATTCCCTAAATTAAATGATAAAACATTGCCTCTGACCTATCTTTAAAGAACATCTGAGTTTCAAAGATGATTCATAAATTCGTTCTAACCAGTCTCTAAAAGAAGGGTTTCATTGTTCCCAAAAAGGTGATTGAGGCTCAAGGGATGACAAAACTGAGCAAAGACAATGAAAATCCTTTTTTTCCAAAAACAGCAATGTGTAACTAAATTGTGGATCATTGTTTAAACTAAATTAACAGTAGCCCGAAGAAATTGTTTTCACCATTTGATTCAGCCAGTATTGATTTTATGTGAGTGCAGAAACACAGGAGGAATTATGACACTGGCACATTTGTTGATGCAGAGACTACAAGGCATAGAAGTAGGAGAAAAGGAAAGATCTGGGCTTTTTGTACACTGTCTTATTTAACTGGGATAATTTCACCTTTTCATTGTATTCACGTTGTTTTTACTTCAACTATCTAAATGCAAAAAATATTATCATCTGGTTCTCTTCTTTCACATTAAGGTTTTCTTGGGTTTTGGTTTTGGGATGTTTTTTTTCCTTTTAAGATTTATGAGGTTTTCTTGGCAACTACATTACACTTTTACCTCTTCTGTAGAGTTGTAGAAGGTCTTAATTGACCATAGAGGAGCTCCTGTCCTACATCTGAAGGGAAAATCTAACCTACAAAATGTTATGGAGGAAATTTGATCATATCCTTTATATAATTAGAATGAATGAATCCTGGAAATAGTTGAATGTCATATTCACTGCCTTTGGCCTTGTCACCCTTCCCGAGTTCCCTACCACCATCAGTTCACAGTGATTGTTCATAGCGCGTTGCTGTGTCTACTTTTTGCAGGGCACTAGAGAACCTGGAACAATTGTTTTTGTTCTTTGCTAATCTAAGAACCTGGAAAAGATAAGGAAAGGTGTGAAAATCATACGTCAGCTTATGTTCCCTGTGTGATTAATCCAATCAATTGATTCTAAAATCCAGCAAACAAAACACTGGGAAGCTAATTCATGGAAATTATAATGTGTAATATCTTTATAATGACATACAAATTGATAAAAGTACTATAAGCAAAACAATTAAGCAAAAGATGTAATCAGACAACTCACAAGTGATAGAATTATAAACAGTTTAAAAATCCATGCAAAAATGTTCAAGTTCATTACAATCAAAGTAATGCACATTAAACAATGGGTTAGCACCTTGTGTTTATCAAATTAGCAAAGATTTTCTCAAATGATACAAGCCTCTTAAGGAGAAACACTGCTAGGATGAGATGAGTGTGAATTGGCTTCAGCTTTGGAAAGCAGTTTGGCAATAATGAGACAAAATATTCATAACCTCTTATTCAGTAATTTCAATTCTAAAAATCTCTTCTAAGGAAATAACTCAATATAAAAAAGCTATAGAGTTGTTCATCTTTCTGTCATTTAAAGTATTAAAAAATTGTATACAATATAAATGTCCAGCAATAAACAAGTAACTAAGTAAACTATAATTAACTCAATAAACGACATTTTGTGCATTCATTTAAAGTGATTAGCCAGAAGTTATCATAAGAAGGGAAATGGTTATGCTATGTTAGTGAAAAAAGGATATATGATTTTATGTATATTATTATTTAATTTATGAAAAGCTAACCAAGTGGAATGTATAGAAATAAAAGTTGGAAGGAAATACAACATAATATCTTGTGTTTTTTAAGGTGATGGGAACTATGTAAACTTTTTCTTTTACCCATATATCTCGCGGTTCTCCCACATTATATAATAGGCATATTTTCTCTTACAACAAAAAGATGGGTTTTAAAGAAATAAAAAGTACGTAAAAGAATAAAAGAGGAATGAACCATCACGACGTGCAACAGACACTCAGCTAATGGATGTGGACTCAACCCTCGTAGTCTATGCATTTCCAGCGGCCTTTGCAAAATTATCATCTCTCTGAATGCTGACAATTGGATTGATTTCTAGGAAGATAATATGGTTCCCAAACTCTACGGAATTAGAATGCGGTTACTCCTAAACTGCTTTATAACTAAACTAAAGAGGAATATGCACGGTCAATGAAAGTTTCTTTAAAAATAACAAGTACTTTAAACAGCATAATTATCAATGAACACTTACTGAACAGCTACAACTAGCTTAATATTACAAAATATTGACCAATTTTTTTGTTTTAAGGGAAAATAGTCAACTTATTCTCATTGACATATTTGAAAATGCATTCTAATTATATTAAAGTTCATCTCACATTTTAAAAATAATTGTGTAAATTGATTTACTTTCCACATCTTAAGTGTCTTTTTGTTAGAGACTTGGAAACTATTAAATGAATTTTTAGGCATAGGAATGGAGCAAAAGAATTTAAAATGCCACTTACCTGACATGCTTCTTTTCTCAAAGAAATCTTCATGTAATCATAAGGCAAGTGTATGGATTAAAAATACTCCCGCCAACTTTATTCTAAGTGATGTTGCTCTGTCATGTGAGAAACAGCGTGGCAGTAAAGCCTCTCTTTGTCTGTACCTCAGTTCTTTCTCTTTTCTGTTTCTTAAAATCTTTTGTGTGTACTTTGTTCAGTTACAAACAGGAAATGTGGTGATGGAGGCTTCTAGAGTTTTCATCTGAAACCAATAAGCTCTTAAAGGTTCGTGTAATGTGAGAAGAAAAATCCCACAAGCTTCCATTCTCTGGTATTTGAATTTTTATCAATATAAATCTGATCTAAAAGAAATAATGAAATGAAGGTATGAATTAAACTAGGAGGGATCTCCTATCTTTCTGGAGAGAATCCAGGGATCTCCTCACAAGTGAGGGCACAGGAAACAAAATAAAATATACTAAACCAAGGAGGAAACAGTGAGAAACCCCCAGGTGTGCTCAGCTGTCGGTTGTTTTCTTTGAGGCGTGACAGAGAAGAGGGGACTGGCACTTTTGAACACTTACTACATTATATACCAGGTACCATCTGTACATCATCCCACTGGAGATTGGGTGCCTACTTTCTTTCTCACCATCCCTTATCCCACCAATGTGAGTCCCTCTGTCCAATCTAGGGCCAATGGGCAACAAGCTCCAGCTCTCAATCCCCACTCCAGTGTCTCAATATCAGAAATTCTTAAAGGTTAGTGTTCACAAGTGTGTTATGTGGCACTGGTTTAACACGCATATTCCTGAATCACAATATTTGGAGTGCAGCCCAGGAATCTGCATTTTCACAAGCATCCCCTGCTTATTTTTATATAGATGTTCTGGACAATGCTCTGAGAAACTCACATATATGTCAATAGTAATATTTTATTTTTAGCATCAGTCTGTTTAAGCTCGTCTTGGCATTATCTGTGTATAAAGTTTGTATGCATTCTGTGTACATATATCTGCTGGATATTTGCTTATGTGCTCCACCAATTTTCTTTAATTATGAAAGAATGACAAACCCGAATCCAGCTTATTACAAAACGAGATGTACTTAAACTTTAAGAACTTAAACTTTAAGGGAAACTTTAAAATGAGACCTTTGTTGCATAGATTCAGAAGAAAGTTATTAGATGGCTCATAGGATATTTTATTCTAGGTGATTTCTCTAAGATTCTTGAGGGCAGCAAAAGTATTGGTCTTATTTATCATTAAAACTGCAGGTCCTGGAATAATGCCTGGCACATTGTAGGTCTCAATAAATATTCTCAGACCGTTTGAATAATAAGAGAATGTTAGTCTTCTGTCTCCTGGTTCCCTTGTAGAAAACAACTCCCTAGTAACTAGTGCAGCGCTTCTTTATTCTTCGGAAAGAGGTGGTGAAACACTAACAGATTTTTTCACTTTAATCACTTCCCCCTAAGTATTTCTTGTGACTCATTGAATCAGAATCTGTAAAACTGAAAGAGACTATGGAGATTCCCTAGTCTAATCTTTTTAGAAAAGGCGTTTTCAAACTGTGTTCCATAGAACACCCGGCCTTTAAGAAACTCTTGGAAAACAAATGCTCCTTCAACAAACATCTTTGGAAAAACTATATATTATTTTCACCTTCATGGATGCATATAAGTATATTAAAAGCTTAGGTAAGTCCTACAGAAAGGGAACCTGAATAACCTTTTTACTAGAGCTTTTTCTAAACTTCTTTAGCAGAGAAATTTTTCTTTGGCTGCCGTCCATCAGCAGGGTGACAGATTGTGTGAAGCAGGCCTGGGTGCTCACAGACCAAGAGCTCAATGGAACAGAAGTCTTAGGTTCATGCACAGACCAGTGGAAAACAAAGACTCAGAAGGATCCATCCAAGAATTAGAACATAGGAGTGGAGACGGCTGAAGAGCTGAATGTCAGACTTCCAAGTAAGTTTGGACACCTGGGACACCAGTTCGAGGGGAGAGGGCCCAGCTGTGGGGCAGCCTTGAGGGAACGAACTTTCGTCCTGAAAGAGGATAACTGGAAAGGAGGGTAGAAGCCCCAGGCTCAAGGGGGAACTGCATAGATTCCCTAAGCAGGACCTTGGCACATGGGCAAAGTAGATGGCCATTTATATCAACTGGGCACACAGAGGACATGGGAGAGAGAAAGGGTCTCAGGACTGGAAATTTAGGAGCAAGCATCCCTTGCTGGAATAAGAACAATACAGAGGATGGGAAAAGAAAGGAACAAGGATGTCCCCATCCTGGCTGACCCATTCGGCTAAAGTACAAACCCAGAAAGGATAAGCATGTTCAGTAGTTGGCTTGGAATACAGAGAAGGTCAGACTCAGTAAGAATGACTCAGGTAAAAATGCAGGAACTATGGTTAGCCCAGGAGGTGTACCTCTCAGGACAGCCCAGCAAGGAGCGAGATTCAAACCAAACCCGCCAGTTGGAACAGCGTCTAAAGCTGTCTAAGCGCTTCCCTGCCTTGAGTCTGTGACCTTACATACGCAAGTCTGCAGAAATCTGGGAAGGCAAGAGCAGAGGAGACACGCAGGGACCAAGGAAAGGTACACTCTCCCTCTTCAGGTCAGTGAGGCAGTCTGTGGTCCATGCTGAGTGATTACCTATAGCTTAAAAGAGTATAATGTACATGATGCATGATTGGCATTGCCAAAATAATAAAACTCAGACTGATAAATCCTAACCACTTCACAATTTCTAACTATTATAATATTTTTGAAAAATGATCTGCATTACAATGTTCCTCATTCTATAGATTTATATAATCAGAGATACAGCAAGATTGTCCAAGGTCACACAGAAAATTTGTGTCTATGCAGTAGATAGCTCCACAGATGTTTGAAATTTACTGGGGAAAAAATGATAGCTTTTCATTAAATATAGATAGCTGAGCACATGGAGACATTATCAGAATATAAAAAAGCCTATAGATATATTTGTTATGAAATGTATTAGATATATTAATGAATGCTTTCAGAGATTTGAATGATGACTGCATGAGCCGTGTTCGAATAATAAATAAACATGAGACTTCTGTAGTACTTTTTAATGAGATTTTATCAAAACGAAGTTTAGAAGATAGCTAGACTAAGCAGAAATGTTCTGACAAGTTTGAAGTGATTAGAAATGTAGGAAATTTGAGGGGAAGGAATGTGGTTTTGATGGGCACATGTCAAGAAATGAGAATTTTAAGGCCAACAAAATTAACGTTTTGTTGCCAAAAGAAAATGAAAAACAATCAAAATGGCAGCTCTCTTCAGAGCTCCCACACTCAGAAACATGGGTCACAGAGTATAGAAAGAGACTCAGTTTTCAAATCTCTTTGTTTATGGTTATCTATTATTTTTAAAATTAGTCTTTAGCACTATAGCATATTTATATCTAGGTGTATATTTATGCACACACATCTATTTTTTGAGTCCGAGGGGTTCAAACTATTAACAGTAGGCATTAGCAGAGGATTACCTGGAACTTTGACTTTACATTTTGTATATTTATCAATTGTTTAAATTATTTACAATAACATGCACTACTTCTATAGTTGGAATAAAAGGTGTTTCCTTATTTTAAAGTCTCTCTAGAATACCTTTGTTCTATAGAAATAGAACCTATCTCTCTGTGTGATTTTTCTCTATTCTGGTGAATCATTCTTCAGTAAGACTACAGCTAGTACAAAGTAAGCAAAAAACTTTATGAAAGACAGGAGGGGAGGGGCCCCTGTGCTTCCAATTATGCTGCTTTAAAATATAAGATTATCCAAAATTAATTATGGTGTCACAATTGCATCTGATTAGACTTCATTGATAGTTCAGATTTTCCTTGAATTTATACTGTAAGATCCTCCAGAAAACAAACTTATTCAGAAGGAAAACAGAAAACAAGTTAAAAGCAATAAAACAATGCATGGACTTGGACAAGATTCTCAGATCTTTTTATTACATTTATTATAGCCCTACAGAATCAGAATTCTTAGAAAATCAAACACAAAAATAAAATAAAAATTCAGAAACGAGAGAGAAGTGGCTAATAACAGATACAGTCTAATTTCCTATATGTGAAAGGCTTAAGTATCCAAATTTTCTAGAAGCAAACAGCTTGCCCCATTACACAGGTTTCTACGTGGTGTGCCAGAGGAAGAGCTGTTAACACAGTTAAAGATTCTGAGGAAGTTTGTGCTTATTTGAAATATAACTGGCTCAAACAAAGTAAACTAGTTCTTTTACTGTAGGACTTCTCAAAGTTTGAGAGAGCTGACATGCATTTCTCTTCTCAAGAGAAGGATGTATTATGCAGCATTGCCAAAAATTATTGCACAAGAGCAACATCCTCTTAGTATTTTTCAAAGAGTTTTGCTGTTCTGAGGTATGTATTTTAGGAAACACTAGATCAAGCGACTCTTTCTTCCAGTTGAACCAGCTCTTACTTTCTGGCCTCCTCCTACACTCAGGGCCTGGCTTATTTGATGGGCCCCACAAATAACATCAACTGTACCACCTATATGTGAATTTCATCTCTAGAGATGTTTTGCTTGAGATTACAAAGGAATGAGCCCTTAAAATTTAAATGCCCCAGGGCAGGTAACACAATTAGCATCCTCAGACTAGCTTACATACTGAGACTATTTCTAGGAGATCCTCCGCCAGATAAGACACAATACATTAAATTTTGATGAAAATAAGAGATTTGGGGCTAGGACATTTCTAGGAGAAGGCAAGCTCTAGTTGGAGGACTGTAGGGACTAGGAACATAGGGTGGAGGTAAAGACACCAAGAAGTGATGGACCAGTCAGGGCTCTGGCTGCAAATAGATGCAACAGTCAAAGTTAGTTAAAAGAGTTTAATGAAAGAACTGTTTTCAAAGGTGCAGGCAGGGTTAAGGGGAAGAACAAGGAAGGCTGAAACACTTTTAGGTTAACGAGAGAAGGAGCCCATACCACCCCCAGGCTTGAAAGTATTAGAGGAGTATCAGTCACTGAAACTCACTGAGATAAGTAGCTGTAAGAGAGAGCTGCCTGACAGAAGCCATGGCTTTCAGTAGTAGAAGAAATGATGAAGTTAGAAAATCCACCATTTTGAAACTGTCAAATTAACAACTGATTCAGAAAAAATCGTCAATAGATGCTAAACTAGTAGGTGAAT